GACACTGGCTTCTCTTTTTCCTGTGACCTCCTTATCTTCATTTCCTCCACCAGAGAGAACTTCATTCAACCCCAGAGGAGAAAAGGTTTTCCTGTTTTGTTTTCTTTGCACAGGCCTCTCCTTCACACAGCCATAATTTGCATTCATTTATGGTAATGCTTTAAGTCAATGTCTCCCCATTCCCCTGAGATTGTATACTTCATAATGTGGAAAGAACTCTGCTTTTTTATATCATTAGACCATCAGCATGGTTTAAGAACCATGCCCCACACAGAGCAGAGCTTAAAAATATTTGCTGAATACTGTAATCAAGCCATTACATTAATAATATAGTGAGAAAAGGTTTTATATTCTGCTGGTCTCTCATACACAAATTATATCCATTCATTCATTTATTTTTGCTGAGAAGGAAAGTTACATTATACATTGCTTTCCCAAAATACAGATATCTTATGCTAGATTGCCAAATTGAATTATTAAACTTCGAAATGCTCATATACCTTTTCTTTACCAGGTTTTTATGGGGTTTCTACACCGCTCATCTTTCAAGAGAGATTATTTTGAGTTTACTTCAATGAAAAAGCTCTTTTGCACCTTGACAAGGCTGTCCCAAGTACCACTAGATGCTACCACTTTTCCATAATTGGGACCATGACCTGGGGAAAGACTCAGCAAGCATTAATTGATTAAAAGTGAGAAAAGAACTTATATTTTAGGAATGTGGGTCCTTTTAAATTATCAGGCCCAGAGAGACATTAAAATGAGACAGTAAGTTCAATCTAACCTGCACCTTTTGTGCTACATATTCATCTCTTGAAACAGCTTGTTATTGTCCCTGGTAGCTATAAATTAACCTAATAATGCTGCACTGGAAACTATAACTCACACCTTATAGCTTAACAATGTCCAGCCAACCACCAGTCAATATTTTCCTGTAAACCAATGAGAATTCTTTTTTTTTTTTTTTTTGAGATGGAGTTTTGCTCTTGTTACCCAGGCTGGAGTGCAATGGCGCGATCTCGGCTCACTGCAACCTCCGCCTCCCTGGTTCAAGCAATTCTCCTGCCTCAGCCTCCCGAGTAGCTGGGACTACAGGCATGTGCCACCCTGCCCAGCTAATTTTTTTTTTTGTATTTTTAGTAGAGACGGGGTTTCTCCTTGTTGACCAGGATGGTCTCGATCAATTGACCTCGTGATCCACCCGCCTCGGCCTCCCAAAGTGCTGGGATTACAGGCGTGAGCCACCACGCCCGGCCACCAATGAGAATTCTTTAAGGAGAACTTTGTGTCAGTCTACTCCCTGTCCCCCATTTTTGCCTTAAAAAATTTGCTTGTAACAAAGGCCAAAGGAAGCTCATATCCAATGTTACTTGGTTGTGAATCTTCCAGGCAGTTGTCCTCACACTTTGGCTCAAGTAAACTCTTTAAATTATATTTTGTGCCTTAGCCTATTCCTTCTAGGTCAACACAGTGATTATGGATGTTTGTTAGGATGGTTACCAACACAAAGAATACATGAATCCAGGCTCAGTATCAGCTTCAGACTTTTAAAATTAATTATTGCATAAATAATATTCATCTGATTTCTTGATACATGCTAGATATTGGCAAGTAAGCATGTTAAGAATTCGTGAGCATTTTGCTAAATTTTAAGATTCTTTCCCAATGCTTGCTACTTAAGCTGCAGGCAAAGCTGAATTAAATTTAGCCCTTCTAAGATGATAATGAGCATAACATTTATCTTATGAAATAAAATTTCATCAGTTTCAGTGCTTCCTGATCCTTTTTTTTTTTTAACCCGTAAACATTTTTACTGGTTAACCAAAGAAAAATTTAAACATAAAGTACTACACTTTAAAAAGCAACAACATTATTCATGTATTTATTTTGAGGATTTCAAAAAGAATCAATCAAAGAATTAGATTAATCATATAAGTTTCTTTTGAGAATGTCTTGGTACATCTCTGTAAATTTTAAGGAACAAGTTTTACTCACAATTATTTTTATTGTGGCAACCTGCTGTATTTAGAAAGACGGCTGCCTTTAAATGGACATGATACGTAACAATCTTGTCTCTCTATAAGAAAATTAATCTTTGAAACAGTCTTGGGATTATTTCATGTTTCTAAAGCCATTAGCAAGGCCTTTAAAATGTGCTATTTTAACTCCTTGGGAAATCCTTAGCTCTTATCCTATAACACTGCCTCATGACATCATTTCCTTTCCTGCAGATCTGGTGTGGATTTTCCTTCATTGTGTATTTGCCTCATTCACGGATGTGTTTTCTTCTTTACTTTCTCGTTTATTGACCCATACAGTCATTTAACAACTATTCCTAACATAAAGATAAAGGACCCAAAGAAATACAGGACATTGTTATTCAACTTGGAGAGGTTACAATGAAAGCATTTGAATGAAACAAGTCAAAAAAATGTAAGAACTGTGAAAATTCAGAAAACAAATAGTTTGTAGGTTCAGTTTTATTTTCTAATTGCATCATAGTGGTAGTTCTATTAAGAGCCTCTGATTTCTGATAATATACATCTTAGCTTTTGCTGGAAAATGATAACAATGATTACAACTTAAAGAAAATAAGAAGTAGAATAGTTAATGTTTGTTCCTACAGTTAAACTGGTATATATCATTTCAATGAAATTATTCAACAAAATGCAGTAATTTCAATGAATTGTTTTTCAGAAGAAGAATCACAGCATTGAACCAAGTTTTAAGCTGTACACATCTCTGAAGTACACGAAAACCTGTTCTCATAGGGAAGATGAAAGCCAACTCCAAATAAAGTATTTGAGCTTTCAAGGGAAGCATCATTTTCTTTCCAAGCTTCCACCCAAAGTTCTCCCACACTCCTCTTTCTCATTTTCTTTCTTAAATGCATTCTGGAAAGATAATTTAAAAGGTATTGCAGTGGGCTATCAGGAAGCATATTTACCAGGTCTTACAATGAAATCATTGGGGAAAGGGTCCAGCTTTGAATTCCACTAAAATAAAAAAATTTGTAATATTTCCTTGACTCCAATCATAAACTTAGCATTTGATTTTCACCCTTCTTTTCTTTTCCATTATACACAATACAAGCTGAATTTAACAACAACAACAAAAATGGAACTTACAGACTCATTTATCTTTAAAAAAGCTGCAGCTTATAGGATTTAAAATGTGATACAATGAGGTGACATTTCAAAGCTTATACGGGAGGTGGGATAGACATGGTTCACATCCAATCATTTTAAATTAAGCGTTTAGTGTAGGTAGCTGTTTTTGTGGACAATATGATTTAACAAAATGCAATATGTTCAAATCCACATAAAGAGAATTATTTGAAAGGTGAGTGTCTTTTTGCTCCTGGTTTATTATTTAAATTCATTTTCATAACTCCAGCTTGTTGGTAGCCTAATGAAAATAAAAATTCATAATCCAAATATGCCTTGGTCACTATTGGATAATTGATCCATCAGCAGGTTGACTTCTTCCAGCACTATAAATTATAATTTTAAGCCTTTTTACCTCAATTTTCCCCACTCAGTAAAATGGTATACAAATTTTCATCAACTTTGTAAAAGATCACCCACTTGATTTTTTATGGCATTAAGTATCCTGTAAAGTGTGCCACTCAAGTAGAACACATGATTATTTACTGTCTAGGTGCACATATTTAGATTCAGAATCATGTTCAAACTAGTTTGTCTGCTTTGTTTGACTGCTAGTTTTTTTTTTTTTTTTCTAAGGAAGAAACCACAGAAATTATTTGACTGTTGATACTTTTTTTTTAAAACTGATTTAATCAGCCCAAATCAGTCTAAAAATTCAAACCATTTAGATATGAGGAATGTACTACTTAGTCACAGAGTAAGAGAAACAAAACCAAGCATTTCTTCAAAAACATGATTCTAGTCAGTGTGTGCTGATGGGCGAGAAGACAAAAGAAAACAAAATTTAAAGGTGTTCCTACACCCCATCTTTGGCATCCTTTAATGTCAATGTCACTTGTTCTGATTTGTGCTGGGCAAGGAAAGACACTGTCCTTTCCACTCCAGCACATTTGACAAGGACCGACACTCTGGTCATGCTGTAAAATAAAATAAATACATTAGTAAGACCATTTCCCTTTTCATTTCAGCCTAGGCATAAGAGATGGGTTACTTAAAATTCAAGTGCCAGGAAAGCCCATTGTAAAAGGGAAATATTTTCAAGTGAATTCCGTTTGATCTTTTTTTTATAGGGGCTCCTACAAGCCTCTCTCCCTTCCTCCTCAGACCCTGGAAACCAATTAGTCTCAGCACAGAGGCCATAGACCAGGTTGCAATGGCTCCTTTTTATTTTTAGGGGATATAATTTCAGCCAGGATGTCTAGTCAGTTGTCACATAGTAGACTTAGCATACTTCTCTCTCACACGCATATACATTGGATTTCCCTTCGGAGAATGCACAGATCTTTCAGTCTGACTCCTAGAAAGGAATTAGATCTGGTTGCTGTCCCAATCTTTCAGCAATGACAATGACATAACATCACAGGGCCACCTCATCTTTCACAGACAATCCTGCCAACCAAGTTTTCTAAAAGCCTTCTCTCCCTTGTCTTCTGTCTTCCAGCATTTCAGCGGCATTTCCTTTCCTTGTGCTGTTTGCATACAATTCTGAAAACCTTTTCTTCCATTTTTCAAAGTAGCAGACAAAACTGGACTAACTTTAATTTTTTAAAATGCTTTTGAAGTACTTATCTTTTGAGGAAAATTTTATCCAAAAGACGGAAATGGAAACAATTAGAGTCTTTGCCTCTCCTCACCTTTCTGTCCTGAACCTGCCTTAATTCACGGAGGTGAAAAAAATGATCAGCTGGGTTGGCCTTTTCTTTCTCAGCAACAACATTGCAGAGAGAAAGAGGTGAGTGTGTGTGTGTGTGTGTGTGTGTGTGTGTGTGTGTGTGTGTGTGTGTCTGGCGTGTTGAAAGGCTTGGGGTAAAAGGAGCACAGCTCTCCCCAAGGAATGCCTCAGCAGATGGGAGGGAACCTAGGGTCGCCTTCCTAGGTCTGAGTGAAATGTCCCAGCCGCTCCCCTTACCCCCGAGGTGAGCCCTGCGTCCTGGCACGGTGCCAGGACTCCTGACAGAGCCTGGCAGGTCGGTGGGTGGGGGGACCTGGGTGTTCTCTTTGCAGAAGAACACCATTTGAGGGAAAGCTCCCTTATTTTCCTGGGGCACCTTAGCCCGCCTCCCTTCTATCATTTTTTACGCAGATCACACTAATGATGATGAACTTGCAGCTCAGCTTCCTGCCGCCTGCTTGACCCGGGAGCACCAGCAGGCTGCCGGGCCTCGCCCTGGGCTCCCTCCTCTTCTTGAAACCCTGGGGCTTCAGGGCACCGGTGGGGTTCCGAGTGGGCAGGGACTGCAGGAGGGGCGTGCAGGGGCGCGGGGTCCCGCCGGGGAGCGCGCACGGAGCGGCGCCTCGGCCGCCCTGCTTCCTGGAGCTGTGCTCCTTTGACCCCAGTGGCAGTCCCTGTCACTGCACCGCTCGCGCTCCCTCCGGCTCGCCGCGCCCTCGCTCCCTCTCCTCGCCCCCTCGCTCGCTCGCTCCCCAGATCGAGGCTGCTCGGGTCCTTTCTCCCCCCGCCTCCCTCTAGTGCCGCGCCCCCTGGCCCCCAGCCCCAGCCCGCGGCAGGACCTCCGGGGTCGAAGGTTCTGGCCCGCCCGCGCCCCTCGCCACCCCCGCGCGCCCCCAGCGCTCCTCCTGCCGGCTCGGGTCGCTCAGCGATGGATCGCCTGCTTGCCGGGCGCTGAAGGCATCCCCGGGACCCGGAGCGCAGCCCGGGAAAGGTAATCCGCCCCGGGAAGGGAGGCGGAGGGCGGGGGAGGGGGAGGAGGCGGCCAGGAGCCCGGTGCCGAGCGCGAGGGGAAAAAAATGCACACACAAAGCGGAGCCCGGGTGAGAGGTGCCTTGTCAGAGGCGCGTGCGAGGGGCTCGGAGGCTGCGGACCCGAGCTGCCCCGCTGCCCCTGACGTCTGCACGACCGGGCGCCTCCCGGCCAATTCGGCGCCCGGGGTGGGCTAATTTTCAACCCCTGAGCAAAAGCAAATTCTTTTTTAGAAGCTGTCTTCCCTTCCACTCTCCATCCTGCGCCCCTTCTCTTCTCCACAACCCCTGCCAGCCATCGGTCCCCGACCTCTGGGGGTCCCCACCTTTTCGCCCCCTCCTCCGCCGGGATTTCTTAGGAGGAAAGGAGGGGGTATCGGCGAGAAGCTGCGGCGAAAGCCAGGCGGCGGGGATGGGGGTGGGGACGAGGGCTCCGCGAGCTGTTTACTAGAAAGTCCCGGGGTGCTGTGTTCGAGCCGCCCTGGCCTAGGCCCGGGTGCATTGTGTTGGCCGGATCCCCGGGCTCCCGCGGCGGCCAGAGGCCAGGTGCAGTGACGGGGGGAAGGCGCCGCGCAGCTTTGTGCTTGGGCTGAGCCCCGCGGCCGCCCCCGGGGCCTCCCGCGCGCGCCTCTCTCGCTCCGGGCTCTTTCTCACCCGGTCCCCGCGCCCCAACCTCACTCTCCGCCGCTGCCTGGGTCTCCGCTCTCTCAGCCTGCAGGGCGACCCGGCGACCCGAGCCGGGGTCAGGGCTGGGCGAGGAAAAGTAACCGTTGCCGCCGGATTTCTTCTCTTTACAGAGGCAGGAGTTTCTTTACTATTTACATTTAACAAGGTTATCTTTGTAAAGCCTTTGAATTCCGGGGTTTTGCGGCCTAGGAGGGGAAGGGGGCATTTTTCTAGAGGCTCAGGAGCGGGTTGGAATCCATCAGCAAGAAAATAAATTAAGGATGCCCCAGTGGAGTTGATTTATAGTACATCACCACCCCCCCAACACACACACCCCAAATTAAGTGCAAATGCGGGTCATGAAAAATGTGTAATTAATCTGATATGCTGCAAACAAACACAAACAGGTCGAGGGGGGAACAAGCAAAAGTTTAAGTGAAAAAAGATTTCAAAAGAAGGGGAGATCTCGTGGCCTCCACACCCCCTTCCAACGCTCGCTGGCTCCCTCCCTTCCTTTCTCCGGCGCTCTGGGAAAGGAGCCTGGCAGCGCCCTGGCGTAGAGCTGGGAGGCGGCGGCGGCCCGGGGCTCGGGCTCCACGCTGTGGGTTAGGGGATGCCAACGCTCCCGGGAGGCTGACGTCGGGGACGTGGGGCTGTGATGCCCGACCGAGGATGGCGTGGTGTCAGAGTCACTGGCCGCCGGTGGTCATCAATCAATCCAGAGCTAGGGAAGAGGGAGAGGAAAAAGATGGGTGTCCAGCGGAGCCCGGGGCCGCGAGCGCTAGCGCCGGCTGGGCCGGCTGGAGCGGCGGCTGCGGAGGGGACGGAGGTGGCGACGGGGGACTGAGAGAGTAAGGCTCTGGTGCTCCAGGAAGGAAGGGGGAGTTGTAGCCGAGAAGAGCCGGCCGTAAGCCTGGAAGGGCAGGGCGAGGGTGTGTGTGTGTGTGTGTGTGTGTGTGTGTGTGTGTGTGTGTGTGGTGTGTGGTTGATGAAGCACCCCCCAACCCGCAACTGCCCACCCTAGATTTAAAACAAACAAACCAATCCAAAGTAGAGAATTACGCGCCCCCCACCGCCCCACCTTATATAGACTCCACGAGTTACCAGAGGCTCGGGAGAAAAGTCTTGCCCTCCCTCTCCGAAGGAATGTGTCAGCCGGGTGTCCGCAGTGCTGGAGACAAGTTCAGGTGTAAGTGCGTCGGGAGGGAGGGCGCTTGGTGGACAGAGCACGTGAAACTTTATGTCAGCATCCCCCCAAAAAACCCTGGCGGAGAAGCCCTCCGGGAAGGCGTGTGGGCATCGCTCCCAGATACAGGGATGAGTCACTGGAAGTGGGCATAAAAGAGTAGGGGCGTGAGTTAAGAACGCACTGGATCAGCGCGGCAGAGGGAGGAGAGAGTGAAATTTGGCGGAATTGGAGCAGGCAAGTTCCAAAGTCCCGCCAGGCTCGGTCGGAAGATCTTGGGGCAAGTGATTAAAATGAGCATCCTTGCTGAAACGAGGAAACCGCGGGCTCTTTTCTCATAGGCTGTGCTGGGCAGTGCACGGATAGAGAGGTCGTGAGTTGTTGCTTTGAAAGTTTGGTAAATTAGACTTCTGGTGTCTAGGAGGTGGAGACAGCTATTTAATTCCTCAGCTTTTAATCCCTTCATTGCCAGCCGACTTTAAAAGGTTCTCCAACTAGATTCCTGGAAAAGAATATTGCTAGTTGTACAGTTTAAAGGACAGAAGTGATTGCTGTCTACGAAATGCAAAATGTACTCACATGATTTTTTTTTTAAAGAGAAAAATGAATCTAGTACCAGCATGACTGTTTGGCAGTGTCAGCTCCTTTTAGATTTTCCTTAGGCTTCTTGATATTTCGTAGTGGGTTCCTTTGTTTTGTGGAGCAAGTGTGTTGAAGTATAAAATGAAAATTTGTGCAAAGAATAGTGCTCTCTTTAAATATTTTGTGTAAAAAGTTAAAGTAAGTGTGAAGAGGGTGAGATGCACCAAAATCTGATCATTTGGAAAGTTTTACTGCCTAAATATACAGCTTCTTGATAGTTTTAGGCAGTGCATCTTTCTGTCTTGTTTCACGCTCTCTCCAAATTTCTCAGGTTATAGGAGGTGGTTTTGTCCATTGTCCCTTGTCCCTGAGAGTTTACAAAAAAAAAAAAAAAATCTTTTCCAGGTGTTTGTGTTTAAAATTCTTAGGATATGTTCATTTTGAGATTTGGGTGGGAGTGAACATAACATTTTAAAAAATAAGCCTTTTCTTGACTTGTCTGTAAAGGTGCTGGGAAAGTTTTGAAGCTCTCTGCCTCAGTCTGACATTTTCTTCAAAGGACTCCAGATTAAAGAAGATAGACGCTGCAGGTGCACTGTTTCGATAAAACATTTGAAAGGGAACATGGCAAAGATGAATTCAAATGAGGTGCCAGCCACCCATTTAGCCTTTCAGAGTTACAGGGGCCTGTGCTTGCTGATGAAAAGATGTTCTATTTGTCTTACTGAGGCAAAGGTGCAAAGAGGTATAGATGTTCACTGATAGAGAAGGATGACTTTAGGATCAAGCGGATCATCTAGGAGTGCAAATTGATCAGCTGCTAAGTTCTGTCTCTTCTTAGCTTCAAATAGTAGAACTTGGGTGGGTATCATGCTAACTGCTACAAGTCATTGCATAGATGTTTAAATATTAGGTATGTATATTTTATTTCTAGGCCACATTTACTTGGTTTAATTAGAGTGTTTACTCCAGAGATATTTAAAGTGTTTCTAGCACTGGGTGCAGAGATGGTTACTCAGAGGTCACAGTGGTCTAGACATGAATTTTATTTCCTTTGCTTCTTAATGTTCAGTATTTCACACAATAGACATTGATGGAAGAAGGAACATAAGAATTGTCAAGTAATTTTTACACCACTCTCTAATTTATGCAAACACTAAGTTCTCACAGTCTGAAAATGTGTATTTTTCCCCCTCTGTGCTTTGATGGCTAACATTCTTTTTAATGACAGTCATTTCTATAACAGGAAGATGTTTCCATTTGTATTTACTTTTCAGCGCCATGCAATTATGCAGTTTTGCGCTTCAGTAGTGTCTCGGTACTTTGTGTCTCAAAAGAGAATTACAGTACTTAGAACAGGACTGCAATTTGAAGCAGGTGTTGTGTTTTACTGTTATGCAAAATAACAGTAAAATATAATTGTGGGGGAAATTAAGGAAACAGCTGCAAACTTGGTATGAAAACTGCTACATTATGATTTGTAAGCAGTTCTTATAGATATCTTACATCAGAGGAGCAGGGAAAGATTTTAATTTAGTTAATCCTGCCAGCCTGGTTGTCTATCATCTAGCCCTTAAAAGACTCATACCTCCCATGAAGTCAGGAAAAAGAGGGAGAACCCAAAGTGACACTTTGTTCAAAATGCCAGAGCATGGGGATTCATCTCTTGGCAGTGCACTTGTACATTAGAAAGGCAGGCAAGGTGGGTGTGATTTAGCTTGCTTTGTGAATAGGAAGAAGGCAATGATTTGAGTAGAACACTCTGGAATTTCTTAGCCCAGCTAGCATATGGAGGACTACACAAGCCCCAGGTTGTAAAATAATAAAATAAATGGCCTATGGCAGGCCATCTGCCTTTTGCTCGATATTTAAGGTGTTTCATGCCAAATTTAAATCTAATCTTATTATTCTAAATATTTTTATTTGAAATAGCAGCTAAGATTCTCAGAGCTTAATGGTGCACACGGCAAACCTCTTCTGATTTGGAGCACTTAAAGCAAGAGCATGGATTACCTAAGGGTTATTCAAGGAGGGTACTACGGCTTCTTGTCTACCTCACTGATCAATTTCAACAACTTGGACATGAGAATTTGCTTTCCTCAGCCTTTGCACACCTACCATAAAAATAGGTATCTTCATTTCTCAACCCAGTGTAGCAAATAATATATTGACATTTATGAAAAAATCAGAACTAATGGAATTTTTTAAAAAATGAAACCAACTACTGAGAATTATGTTGCACCAAGAATGAGGTGGCAGATGTAACGGCCGCCCTCCTTCACCGCTCCCTTGGGGCTTGAAGAGGGGAGGTAATGAATACATTCAAAGTGGTGGTCCAGACCTGGAGGTGTTTGGCTTTTCCCAGAGTGACTGGAGTGTTGAAAGAAATGACACTACATTTAACAAGGATTTGCCTTACCATAAGGTTCTGGGCCAGAGAGGAATGCCAAGCATTGCCTACCTATGTATTTTGGGAGCTGCTTGTGAAAGAAGAAAATATGTGTAATGTGTGGGTATTATGTGTGTATTATAGTTATACACGTGTATTTGTTATAAGCACGACATTTAAAATTCTTATCTGTTGTTGTGTTATATGGCTGTTTTAAACATGGAGCTTTCAAATCATTATGTGACACCAACTTTGTAAAGACCAAACATTCCAATTAGCAGGGAAGGTTTGGAAGATTCTTCACTTTGTGCACAAACCATGTATAGTCAGATACCATGGCAACTGTGGATATGCCCCTTCCATAATTCACGTTAAGTGCCATAATTATAATTAAAGAGGAAATCTTAGTTTGAAGTCCATTGAGATGATTTGCTAGCACCCGGCAATGATGTATAGAGTGTAATATCTGCTTTGAAGTGCACGAAGGGAAGAGAGTTGGGAACAGTTGTATCCATGAGCCAACAACACATGTTCAGATTTTCCCTGAACTAGTTTCACATCTAGATGTCAAATTTAATGTCTCTCAGAACACCCTCTTTCTCTTTGTTCTTATTTTATATACGTATTTTTTTTTTCTTTCAGAAATGCACAGCGGTATTGATGAGTAGATCCTTGGATTCAGAGGTTGGCTGAAACGCACCATGCCTGCTTCCATCTTTTGCTCTGTAAAGTTGTGAATTGCTCATGCCTATAGGGAGGAAGGATGGCACATGGGATTCCTTCTCAAGGCAAAGTTACTGTAACGGTGGATGAGTACAGCTCAAACCCCACCCAGGCATTCACACACTACAACATTAACCAGAGCAGATTCCAGCCTCCACATGTACATATGTAAGTATCGCTCATGAACTTAACAAAATTAGCAATCAAGAAAGTAGAAAAAAAAGAAAAGCACTAACTACTGACTTCTGCTAGGGAGAATAAAAGGTAAATGATTTACAAATCGGATGGGTATCTGTGGTTTCAAATACAGCTCAGGAGGAATCCCATACGTCTGTGTAGCATTGCAAGTTTTCAGAGCACTTTCAACCACAATTTGACATCAGATCTTCAGAGCCTCTGAGGGCTGGTGGTTGGTTGCTCATATTTATAGATAAGAACAGAAAAGAACAGAGAGGTTAAAGTATTTGCAATGCCACACAGCAAATTTGTCTGAGATTCCTGACCCCCAGTTCAATTTGCTTTACATTGTATTGCTAGCCTTCATTCTGAAATATTTCTTTAAAATTTCTGTATTTTTTTTTTCCCCACACCTCACCCCACTACCCCTTTACATTCAGCTGGGAAATAGGCCTAATTGGGACTAATTGTCCAGCTACTGCTAGATCCATTGTCTTGCCTGTTGCTAGTGAAACGTGTGTTGCATGCTTCAGGACTCAAACAATATGGGGAACAAAGGAATAAGGGACAGTGGAACAGTTGGTTCCAGGAATTGTACTTTTCGCTCACTCCCTAATACTATTTAAGTCATGTCGAGGTTTAGACTGTTTAAGGAACAAAGTGTGGCAGAAACCCAGAGGCAAGGATTTTGCAGCACCTGGTTGTACATCAACTTTTTTTCTGGTCCTCTGCTACAGGATGTGCTGGGCTTTCAGCAGAAAGGAGCAAAAGGTCACCATCTCTCTTGTTTATTCAAGGCCTGGTGCTCATTCTCTATGAGACCCTTCCAATGTCTAACATGAGTCTTTCATAGTAGGACTAAACCTCTTTGAAAACTATTGTATGGTCAGGATAGAAAGGAGGTTAGGGCTCTGTTGACTGTTTTTACCACTACTGGAAGAATTGAACTCGGGGCATGTCCAAGTCATAAGCTCTTTTTTTAGTAATTGCTTTATGTGAGCAGTAAAAAAAAAAAATAGTAGGACACCCTAAACACACACAAACCCCTTGGAATTTAGAAACACTAACCAAACAAAAGGGTCTTTCCCTTGACTGCCTGTATATTAGTGTAAATACTAGGATGTTGCTTTGCAACTATATTCTAGAGAGCAACTCAGTTACCTATGATGGGATATCTCTGCAAAGCAGCCATTCTAAAACAGCATGCTTGAGTGACAAAAAAAGGTAAAAGAAAAAGAGTCCTTGTAAGTGGTTAGTGCTCAATTATTTCTAAGAACTTCATACTTTCTTTAAATGAGAATATATTCATGATTATAAAGGATTTCCTAACATGATTTTAAGGAAAAATTTTAAGATGGATAAAATTTTTCTAAATGAACAATAAATATATGTTCAATTAAAGTATTCTTTTTATTCTACTGTTTTTATTTATTTGTTTTTCTTTAAATATGCTACAGTATTTGTGTAAGCTGTACTTTAGAATAGCTTCAGCTCTGTTTTGCTGGTTTTTTTTTTTTTTTTTTTAATTAAAGAACTACAAGGAATTTTGTAGATGCTGTTTCCATTCAGGCAAAAGAAAGTGTGTTTTTCCCAGATTCCTTGGAAAATGACTGCTGGGGAACCTCAGCTTAGTCTTCAAGTCTGCAGACATCTGCTCACTTGTTCTTGGTCTTAAGATTCCACTGGCGAACTGTGAATGCACAGAGATATTTTAAAAATCATGTAACTTTAAAGCTGATCTGCTTACATTTAGCCATAACAAATTTGAAGGATCAAATTATACCTCTTTTGAAAAAAATGGTTTGAAAATGGGGCAACTTAGACAGCTGTGTAGTGCTTTCACCAGACTCCCAATCTTGGAATAGAGGACTCTTCTGCAGGCTAGTTCCAGTGTGCCTTTTCCCTTTTATTGTCAGTGAGGGCTTCCCACCTGAAGCCTCTGCTCCAGCCACACAGTTTGGTTCCCTGTCATCTGAGCACACTTTAACCCCTTCCATCTTGGTGCCATTGCCATCACTGTTTCTCACAGCTCTAACATACTTACACTCTGCTCATCAAATGCCTCAAAGCCAGTTTAGGCCCCTCCACTTAAACTGCCTTTTATACCTGTCCCTTTCCAATCTAAAATGGTTGGGCCTGCCCAAGTTACTTGGCTACACTTTATACCACCTCCATTATTATTTTTCTTAATCTATCTATCTACCTACCTACCTATCTGCCAATCTATCTATCTGCCTATCTGTCTCTTATTCTCTTACCTCCTACATTTTGAACTTAAAGAAAGGCTTATTCTTCTGAGCAGGTGACAGATGCTTGAAAACACTTGGCTGATTTATCAGTTGATTTGGTTATGCATTGAGTAGAGAGATTGGATTGATGCTTGGAGATTTTCACTGGAATTTTTCTGTCAGGTCTTGACATTTTGAATGTTTGAATGTTGGTACGTATTGTTAGGAGGCTGGCTCACCTTTTCCTTGGCTTCACTCTTTCTTGCTTGAGAATATGGCATTGTTTTGTAGGTCTGATGACCTCACACAGTGAATGGCCTATAGTAGGTGGTCAGGGATCTTGGTTGAATGCAATCATGTCATATTTCTGTTATGTTAAGAAAAAAAATTGGCCTTAATCTAAATAGAAACTTTAATTGACTGGAAAATATCTATAAAATATTTAGTCTAAAATTTCTTCAGTTTTTCTGAAAATTTCAACATGTCATGGCAGAAATTTCCTCCTCTCCCCACGGTAAAGATATTTTGTCTTTTCCACTTGCGTAGTTGCTCATTTATTTTGCATGGGATTTTTAAATTATTTGCTTTCTTTTTTCACTTACACTTGAGATCTCTGAAGACCCCTGGCAGATCACCTGGATTATAGTTAAAATACCCATCCCTTTAATGATGTCTCATTTCTTTCCTACAGCCTTGTGGTGGTAGTTGGGTTTTTTTTTCACATTAATTGGGAAGAGCTCACCTCCCATTTAATACAGTTCATCTCAGCCCAGCTTTTTGACTAACAAATTTTCTTTTCCAAGTCTCAGTTTACTCACCTGTAAACATTTGCACCAAGTAATAGTTAAGGATTTTTAGCTCTGACTTGCTAAGATTAAGATTGCGGTTAAGATAATGTTTATTTGCAAAGCAATGCTATGAAGGAAACAAAAATAAATAAGACCCAGTCCGCATCTTCATGAAGCTCATTGCTGATTTCAGAACTGATGCTTCAAACAGTTTTATGAAGCATTGGTTTAGTTTTCATCTTTGAGTTCTGACAGGATTACCACCAACCTCTCTAAGAATGACTGGCTTGAATCTCTGCTTGTTACGTAGGGAAGATTTTTTTTTTTTAAGAAAGCAATCCTGTATGACCTTGGGAAAGAAAATTAAAGCACAGCTGGAGTTGGCAGAGCAAAATTTAACCTAGCATTTGTGTGCCTCACTTACCCAGACTCTTGAACGTACTAATAGATGTGATGATTGAAACCCAGCAATTAACAGGCTTCATTTCTCCACAACCCCTTCATCTTTCCCAAGCAGAATGATAAGAAAATTATTTAGTATTTTTAATGATGGTGGGAGGAGGTGCTGAAGGAGCCAATGTAGGTCTGAAAACACCATAAAGAATTTGTATGCGTTTCATGATCTGAGGCCTAATCAAATGTTAGGAAACTTTATTAGTAGGGTATCCAGCCATCTCACTTTTAGCATTGAAAGCCCTGTGTTATTGGAACGCCTCAGCCCCATGAAAATCAGGACAATAGGATACCCTACTCAGGTTAATTCCTCATCCTTTTCTTTAAGGATTGACGAGTAGGTAGCTCAAATCAAGTTTTGTTTTCAGTTTTGGCCACTTTGCTTGTCTGTGCCTTCTGTTGTTAATACCCCTCGAATCTTACTCTGTGCTTGTTCTTTTACCCTTGTTCTATGAGGCAGGGTAGCCTGGTGGTCAGCATCCCCTGTGGAATCAGATTATCGGATTTAAAATTTGCTTGCACCACTGACTAGCTGTGTAACCAGGTGTGGAGAAATATTCTAACTTCTCTATCTTTTCTTTTGTTATCTGTAAAATCTGTACCATAAAAGCAGTACCTATCTCAAAAGGCTGTGAAGGGTAAAAGGATAAAACAGTATTACATGTTAATGTTTATATATGATCTATCCTCAATAAGTGTCAGCTGTTGTCATTAATAATTGTTTCATTGATTCTGGGTTTTTAATTTTAAACTGCCAATTCATTCTGAAAGCAGTGGAGTGTAAATAAATGAGTAAATAAAGTCATTGCTAAATTTTGTCCTTTCTTCCTCAAGGAGCCATGAACAGAAAAGAGTCATGGAATCTTTTCTAAGTGGGATTTTGGTTTGTCAGGGTTGAGAAGTGGCCTGGTTTAGTGCCTGTCAAGATTATAAACAGCCTAGGAGTGTCTTATCCACCTCCAGTTACTCCATGGGAGTGGCAGTCCCAAGTGGGGATGGAATCTTGTGAGCTGAGTGCTGACTGGTTGCTCTCTGTGGAATCACAGTGGCCGTCCTCCACTTGAGCTGGACCTGGGTTCTCTGTACCTCGTTCATTTTCTTAGACTTCCCACCTCTATCTGTGGTTAAAACAGAAACATCAGGAGTTAACTCTACATAACCAGGATTGAGTGCAAATGGCACTGCTTGGGCTGGGGAATGAGGACAATATACACATGGTAGCTGAGAATGTGGCCTGAAATCAGAGAGCTGTATATAAATGTTGATCCTGCCAGTTACTGGCCTGGCTGGGTGATGATGGAAAAATTGCTGAACCTGTCTTTTCATCTGTAAAATAGGTTTAATCACCCTTTAATATGATTGTGAGCATTAAATGAGATGATAAACAATGACATATAGTGCCCAAAAGATACCACTTGATGAACAGATTCTATGATAATATTTATGGTTTTGTCTCCTAGCAGATGAGCCTGTTAACATTTTCCTTTCTAAACTACTTGGCTGTATGAAGCCTGACAAGTTC